TATATATATATATATATATATATATATATATTTTATATATATATTTAGCGAGTTAAAAATAGTAAATGAGTTAACTCATTATTTAAACCCAAAATAAACAAATATTTAAATCAAACAATCACCTTTTCCTTTCTCTTTTTATGTTAAGAATATGTTTGTAAATTTATCATTTCCTCTCAATAATAATCATTTGTCAATAACAGTCATTTATAGGGAACATTGCGCATTTGATCAATTTAATCAGTCGAGATGACTGTCACATCTTAATTGATGATAATTTGACAGAGAGAAAAAAAATAAGCAGATGATAGAAGGGGAGGGAAAATATTTTCGTCTAACAACACATCACACCCTCATTTTCTTAACATTCACTTAATTTTTGGAGCTACTTCTATTACTATTACTATTACTACTACTACTACTACTACTACACTAAAAATTACAGGAAAGCAACAATAAAATTCCCATGGTAATAATTGCTTAAGTAACTTTTTACTTTAATTGAAATTAAATTAATGATATGTTTATTCCGAATTCCCTTAAATTTCACCCCAAAACTAAATTTATTTGAAATTGAATTTGTTTACTTATTTGCTTAAAGTTCTCACATTTATTTGCTAAATTTGTATTCCATTTATTGAATTCACAATGTTACGAATTAATAAGTTTCAACAATACAATTATTAAATATATAAGTAGAAAAATTCAATACCTAACTTTTTTCACCCATAACGACTCTCGTTCTTTTTACACCCTCGTCAATCAAATAGTTTTTTCTTTCTTTTTTTTCTTTTAAAAAAAAAAGCAAAATATTAGTTTTTCTTTAGTTATTACTTTAAATTCATTCTAATCTTATGAAAAGATTCCCATCTTATGCACTTCATAATTTAATTTCAAACTATAAAATAGTTATGGTTTTGTTGTTTTTCCTTATGATTATATTAATTTAAAGTTTGGAATAGAAAATTTCAGATAAAAAATCACTTTATACTATTTTATTTATTTTAGCAAAAAACATCTCATCTTTCATTACCTTATCCTTCCATGGGATTTCATTACTTCAATTACTTTTCATTTTTGACTCATTCTCCATTTAAATTTTTGTATTTCTAGTTTTTGACGAGAAATTTATAAAATTCTTGAAAATATATTGCAGTGTAATGAAATGTTGAAATAACCTTATCATGACAATATATCACTGCTATCAAACAGTAACAGCCAAGATTACTGACAATTTTATATTAATGAAGTGTTGGAGAGAAAGTATCTATCCAACTATGCAATCGGATAATAAATAGATTTATTTATCAATCAAATTTTGCTATCATAAATCATGTGCTCACCATATTTAACAAAATAATCTCTTTCTAAAAGTTAATTTCAGATTAAATATGCATCCGTTACTATTCTCAATATTTTATATCTTTATGATGCAGTTATTCACCGCTGATAGTGAATGCAACGAGAAATTATTTCACAACAGATACTGTGTTATAAAACGATTTAAACGACGACCTAACAATATCACAAAAAATGACACAATAACAACAGAAACAGATACGCTTCTCGACCAACTTGAAATGATGACAATAATTAGTAATAATGAGACAATTAGGATTAAGCAGAAGCAAGCGATCTTCAATCAAGATGATATTTTAAGTTCAGAATTTGAACCTCCAGAATTTGCCTGTAACAGAAATCATTCAAAAGCAGCAGAAATTTATTGTTACGGAGACATACTGCATGTAGTGATGATGTTGGGCCTATACAAGGATTCGAAAACATTTGTTGATAAGCCATTGAAAAAGGATCCAGATGAAGTGACCGCCGATTTTCAAAGACGTTTTTCGAAAGCAGTCACAGAAGAAGACCGTGAGCAGGTGGAACAATTCATTGAGGATAATTTTGGCGTTGAAGGAGAGGAGCTTGATCAGTAAGCAGTTTCATTATACTGATTTGATATTGAAGAATAATGTAGTCAGTCAGTTAAAAAAAGGATTTTTTCCCTCCTTTTTCCTTTTAAATGAGTATTTTCCCTTTATTTTAGCAAGACTTCATAATTTTTATTCTGTCCGAAGTAAAATCAAATCTTGACCACTTTACAGGTGTGAATTATCAGACTGGCAAGAGGAACCTGAACGACTGCTTACTATCGAAAATAGTGCTCTACGACAATTTGCACTCCAGATTAATTACATATGGAAACATTTATGTAGAACTGTGAAAAAAGAGGCAAGTTTAAAGAATATACCAACAATTTGAAAATTTAAAAAACTTTTGTCAAATTCCTTTATCCCATCAAATAATTTCCACAACCCTTTATGACTTGAAATCCAAAAATCAAAAGACAAAAAAAACCTAACTGAAGATACAAGGTGGTGTGCTTTATTTTTTCAAAAACTCTCATATCTTATACAAATTTTACGAATTATTTGAAAATTTTCATAAATTTGACAAATGCTGTTTAGAATACATTTAATAATGAAAATGTTAAAATCTGCTATTCCCTAAATCACATAAAAACGCTTTACAATACTCAATAATCCTCCCTCAAAAATGACCTCTTATCGTTTCTCTCAAAGATAACCTTATCACTTCTCTTAAAGATGAATGAAATCAATAGATGGGATGATTTGAAAGTTACTGATATTCTGAGGTACTTAACTGACCAAATAGTTAATACAATTAATGCAAAGTCTTAAACTTTGATCACTTTGTTTGATTAAATTCATATATATATATATATATTTATCAGAAGTCTTCATCAGAATGTATGATATGATTATGACAGTAATATATGATATGATTATGACATCCATCAAAGATAAAATGATTTTGCAGGTTAAAGAACAGCCACAACGACATTCCCTAATTTACGTACCGAATGAATTCATCGTACCGGGTGGACGTTTTCGTGAATACTACTATTGGGATGGTTATTGGATTATTAAAGGGCTTCTAGCATCAGGTAAGTTAATAATTTTGATTATCAGCAAACTGATAAATTATTACTGAGATATCACAACGCTCCCTCTAACAAATTTCATTTCAATTTTTAATGATTATTTATGTGCGCAACGCCCCTTACCTTTTCCCGACAAAACAAAAGAAAACTACAATTCGCAAAATGTAAGCGAAACGAAATTAGAAATGATGCTTAAGACCTTATACATTGATTCCCATCCAAATGTATTTTATGTTAATGACAAATTCCAAAATTTTAGTTCCATATAAATTATAATTTAAACTAAAATTTATTATCTAAGATTAAATATATAAAATGCACCTGACATCTTTTACTCCCAGGTATGCAAAATACAACTCGTCGAATGATTGAAAATTTCGCCCATCTTATAAATACTTTTGGTTTTATCCCGAATGGTGGACGAATCTACTATTTACGACGATCACAACCACCACTATTTATTCCAATGGTTTACGAATATTACGCGGCCACAAAGGACGATGATTTCTTGGCCTCAGTAATTGAAGCTATGGAAAAAGTAAATCTATTCACAGTTAGAGCAAATTTTATATTTTCGATCATATTTAATTCTCGGATTTATCCTATGAAGATCTAAAAGAATGTACCCAACTGAGCTTAATTCAGAAATCATAATTTTCAAATAAATAATGCATTGAATAAAATATCAGTTATTACTGCCTGTTTAAAAAAAAAAAGATTTAAAATACTCCTCAAGAATATATAAAACCCTACCAGTAACTTCAGGAATTATTCTTTTGGAAGACAAGGCGTTCCATAACAATAGAAAAGAATGGTCGGAACTATACAGTATTTCGTTATCGAGCTGAAAGTAACATACCAAGGTAAGATGTGAACAGTCTTTTTGCATCTCATCATTTCCTCATTCTGTAATCAGACAAACTGATAATATATGTCCCGTAGAAAATCTCTCGGATCATTTCTGCTAAACTAGAGTATTTCATAATATATACATCTTTTTATCTTCCTGTTAATCATCAGTTTTTTTATTATTTACCTTATCACATTGCTTATAACAGACCGTTTTTATCTGAATAATATTACGATAAAAGCTCATAATACATTTGTTACTGATTGTACAACATATAGTTTTTTCGATGGTGAACTCTAAATAACCTAAACTTTGTCATCCGTTCTAAAAAATGAAAATTTGAAAATCCCAGAAATTTTTAGACATATAAAATATCTGGTGAATATCCAAATAAAAACCTGTCATCATCGATAATGTCATTTCCAGTTAACTATGACTCGTCATGAATTTACCTCCTTATAGCATTAATTAATTTACTAGTTTTTCAAATGCAAAATTTTCGTTATTCCACATAAATCATTTTCATGTGATATTTAAAAAAATATCACATGGAAAAGCGTGGCTTAAGTTGAATTTCTAAGCTAGTTCCAGACCAGAATCATATCGTGAGGATTACGTAACAACTCAGCACGTATTGCCATCAAAAAAACGTGCTTTATGGCGTGATATAGCAAGCGGAGCTGAATCAGGATGGGATTTCAGCAGCCGTTGGTTTGCTGATCGGAAAACATTGGAAACCTGCGAAACGTCAAACATAGCACCGGTTGATCTGAATGCATTTATGTGCTGGAATATGGGTATACTGGCACACATACATGGTCATCTTGGTTCGATTTTTTTATGAAATTTCAAATTTCATCGAATAATAATGAAATTATAGTATGAAACGAAGTTTGCTTTTTAAAATATAAAACTGAATTTTTAAACAATTTATTTAGAGATAATATAATATCCACAGAAATGTGTTAAAGATTAGCATATAAAACCTGAAATATTTCAGTAAATTCCTTCGAAAAACATGTATTTTTGTGAAAACACATCTTTCATTAATTTTACTAAAATTCGATAAACAAAAGAGAGCTTCAAATTTTAAATTTGGAAATTGTAGATAAAAGAAAGCTAACAGACTTCAAAGCCTATGTAATGAATATTCAAAAATTATTTGCCAAGACTAATTTTAAATATTTTTGAGGAAATCTAACACGTCGAAATGAGCTAAACAAAGAACGAAATATTTTCATAGATACATTTACTGATGTATTTTATGATAAAAGAGAAAAAGCATGGTTTGATGTAAATATTCGAACTGGCAAACGGAACTATGAAACATATCCTTCCATTGCAATACCATTATTTGCTGAATGTTATCGACGATTGGATACACGAATGATGAATGATGTACTCAACACATTACAACGAAGTGGAATTCTAAACTTTCCCTTTGGAGTCCCTGTTAGGTATGAATAGATTATTAATTTCACTTAAACCGTTCTTTCGCTACAAACCAATCTACATCTCCATTTATTATTACATTTCTGGAAAAGAAATTCCGTAAAATTTAGAATATTTAAATACTAAATGAATAAAAACAGCTCAAAATTATTACAGGAACTGATGAAGAAATAATTTAAATGAAATTAATATCTAAATAAAAAACTAAAATTGCTGGATAAAATCTTTAGTTTGATCGAAGGTACAAATCAACAATGGGATTTTCCAAATGGATGGGCAAACGTGAATCATATGATTATCGAAGGATTACGAAGATCTAATTACTACAGGTGTGACAGACACATTACCGAGATATTCTTGTGAAGTTGTAGTTTTATCAATGAACAGAAACATGAACATATCATTCATGTTATCATCATCAATATTGCTAGCACTGATAACGTACTCATTTTATATGCCATATCAGAAGTCAGAGTGAAATAACTTCATGAGGACTGTTCCATTATTTCTCACCTTACAGTTCAGTAATGTATATCATGTTACATCGCGATCTCATGATATCGTTCATCATATTTTCCCAAACAATCCATTTGACGATTTATATTGTCGATGTCCCAGACCTTTCACCTTCGTCGGTTTATTTGAAACTTTTGGATAATATCTCTATCCTTATATTTGTACGGAATCTAACTCATTACTTTCACACCCAAAGTGCTGAGATTGCAGTTAAGATTGTTTAATTAAAGACATTCATTTAAAAATATTATTTATGAATCACCAAAACGAATTTCACAGGATGCAACAAAAAGCATTCGATATCGCACGAAAATGGATCGACCTCAACTATAAAGCTTATTTAAAAGATGGCAAAATGTGGGAGAAATATGATGTCACTAAACCGTATGAAAAAAAAGCTGGAGGCGGTGAATATGAGATACAGGTTAAAAATATGTTTATTTAAAAGTGGAAATAAACTCTTTAAAGTGAAACTACTCGACAAAAATAATTCACCAAAGTAACAATTCATTTTCCCGACATATTTGAAAAATCTTTACTAAATTTGATAATTCAACCTAACAGATCATCAAAATTATGAAATGTGAATAAGCAAACTTCATATAAACCAATTTTTAAGAATGGTTTTGGTTGGACGAATGGAGTAGCACTCGATCTACTGGTCACCTACGGGAAACTATTATCATTTAAAGATGAAATGAAGGATGTTCGAAGTACTTCACGTACAACTACTATTTCCCCTGATTTTATTTTATTATTAACATTGACACTTTTATTAATGGTTAATGATAACGCAATCTGGTTGGGCATGACAGCTCTCAGCTGATGTTTTTACTATCGAATTCGCAAAAAAAACATCACACACAATGTTCCAAATATGTTAGAAAGAAAATCGAGCAGAAAACTTGATAGATTTTCCCAGCTCAATTTGAATCTTAATAGTATTCTGCAGGATATAAATGATACTGAGTAAAACTTACTAATGTCTAAATTTATACCACTGGTTCAAAACACATTCTCATATCATTTGTGAACAATTTTTTTTCTTTTTTTTAATTCAAAGACTCCATTTCTTACAATTCAAGTGGATTTTTTGGATCCGGTTTTAAGACAATATCTTAAAAAAGGATCATAAAGTACGACATTCATTTGGGCCGTTAAGGTTCCCGCACATATACATTTTTTCCATTACTTTGTATTTATGTGATCTTAAACTTGCATTTTGCTGCTATGTCATGAGTTATGCTGGCTATCAGCCATGTTGCTGATAAAGAGTTTCAAATTCTGTTCACAGCTTAATCTGGATCGGTTGCACAATTTACGACAGACGACAGATTACAACTGAAGTTCTTTAGTAAGGAAATAAATTCCATTTTTCTTGACATTCCACAAATCTCATTTCATTTGCGACACTCTCCCTTTTTTTCTGTTCATGTTAATTTGATTTATTGTCATTTAAAAAACAACTGGTCAAAGAAAATTGAAACGGAAAATCACGTTTCTGTTGGAATTATCTTATGGACTTACTATTTAATAGGAAGAAAAGAAACTGACCCCTTCCTGTTTTGCCAATAACACCAATGGACAACGATTCGTCGATGAAGATGCGTACTTTATATTTCCATTTCAGAGCTATAAGTTCAGGCAACAGGCACAGATCACCGCTATTCATGTATAGTCCTTCAACCACTATAAATCGTCTTGTTTTGATGCTAGCTTTGG